TTATTTTGCTTATTTAGCTTTCGTATATTTACAAAATTTTGGCGAGGAATCTATTCGTCATAAAAATCGAGACATATTTTACACACAACTAAACAGTTGCTAATCCCAAGTTAACATGGTTGTCATCGTCGGGCGCGTGGCTTTGCGGGCATAAATTTGCACAAGAGTTTAGATTTAAAACACATGTATGATATCCTAAGATAATGATATCCTGAGATATTGATATCCTAAGATGCTGAACAATATCCTAAGATATTGATATCCTAAGATACTGTACGACATGTTAATTAAGATACTGCATGATTCCTTAAGATATTGACATCCTAAGATATTAATTGTATGATATTCGGAACCAAAATCGACAGGCTTGGAGTCACTCTAAATAGCTCGGAGCCGAGTTCTCATTAGCTCGGAGCCACTCTAGATAGCTCATGTTCTGACTATAGTAATGGATGTCAACATTGGTCGTATTATTTTGCTTATTTAGCTTTCGTATATTTACAAAATTTTGGCGAGGAATCTATTCGTCATAAAAATCGAGACATATTTTACACACAACTAAACAGTTGCTAATCCCAAGTTAACATGGTTGTCATCGTCGGGCGCGTGGCTTTGCGGGCATAAATTTGCACAAGAGTTTAGATTTAAAACACATGTATGATATCCTAAGATAATGATATCCTGAGATATTGATATCCTAAGATGCTGAACAATATCCTAAGATATTGATATCCTAAGATACTGTACGACATGTTAATTAAGATACTGCATGATTCCTTAAGATATTGACATCCTAAGATATTAATTGTATGATATTCGGAACCAAAATCGACAGGCTTGGAGTCACTCTAAATAGCTCGGAGCCGAGTTCTCATTAGCTCGGAGCCACTCTAGATAGCTCATGTTCTGACTATAGTAATGGATGTCAACATTGGTCGTATTATTTTGCTTCTTTAGCTTTCGTATATTTACAAAATTTTGGCGAGGAATCTATTCGTCATAAAAATCTCATTAGCTCGGAGCCACTCTAGATAGCTCATGTTCTGACTATAGTAATGGATGTCAATATCTTAAGGAATCATGCAGTATCTTAATTAACATGTCGTACAGTATCTTAGGATATCAATATCTTAGGATATCGTTCAGTATCTTAGGATATCATACAGTATCTTAGGATATCATACAATATCTTGGGTTATCGTACAACATCTTGGGATATCATGCAGTATCTTAGGATATCATACAATATTTTAGGATATCAGTATCTCAAGATATCATCCAGTATCTTAGATGGTGAAACATCTCAAACAAATGACAATATATATTAGAAGCATAACTTTGTAAACATTTTGAAGAAATAAATGTGTTTTAAATCTAAACTCTTGTGCAAATTTATGCCCGCAAAGCCACGCGCCCGATTTTAAGGCCTAAGCTCGTGTAATAAATACTCTCTATCCATCTTACAATCCATTAGCGACTGTTACAGGTAAACTACGTGAAGCGTTCCTCTTTTGAGTTTCTAAATTGATTGCAATTTTCCTCATTACTTTTGCAATCCCTTGAGGGAATTTGCAATGTTGCTAAAAGCCAAAAAAATTTTCCTCAGTTCCTGTTAGAAGTTCTTAACTTCCTGTTACAAGTTCCAAACTTCCTGTTCTGTTCTGGGCGTTGCAATTGGCTAACAAAAATAATCGACCAATAACAACGCTCAGAACAGAACAGGAAGTTAGGAAATTAAAACAGGAAGTTAGGAAAATTTAAAATGAAGTTTGGAATATTGCAACAGCCGATAGGAACATTGCAAATTCCCTCAAGGGATTTGCAAAGAGTTTTTCAAATTTGCAAAGCTAATAAGGAAAATTCCAAATGAGTTACGAATTCAAAAGAGGAACGCTTCACGTAGTTTACCTGTAATGTGTTTGGCGGTATTTGTTTTCGATGTCAATAAGACAAAATTTCAATATATCTTGCACATAACCTGTAATAACTCTCTGTTCGTTGTATTTTTTTTTCTGTTTCGAGCTCGCTGGGGAAAAAAGTTATATCCACATGGGATGGGCGGGTTAATCACTTTTTAATGACTCTGTAACATGCAAATATTGATATAACAACGACGATGACAACCATGTTAACTTGGGATTAGCAACTGTTTAGTTGTGTTTAAAATATGTCTCGATTTTTATGACGAATTGATTCCTCGCTATAATTTTGTAAATATACGAAAGGTAAATGGGTAAAATAATACGACCAAAGTTTGTAACATTGATCTCTCTGTAGACTTGTCAAGGTTAGATCATGAGTATTCATTTCACGGTATAGACCGCGATCAACCTCGTACCCAGGGCTTTTTTTGCTTCCGCGGGTGGATGGTCAGCGAAAAAGGCCCTGGCTTCGGCTGGTCTGTTTTGCAACCTGATTGGTCAATGATTTTGAATGCAAATATTCAATATATGTGGAAATAACTATTATTTTGGTGCAACGAGAGTGCAGTGACAAATTAATTAGTTCTCGAAGGACTAAAGCATTGAGTAAATAAGATTTTTGACATTTCGCTTGCGAAACAGCATGAATTAGGGAAAGACAATATATCACAAAACTATCTGGTCCATATTAAGTCTTTGTATATTTTGTATTTAGACGAGTATTTGCTTCGGTTCAACAAACGTTTCTAGTCACATGCGTTGTTTATACAGTCAAACAAAGATTGTGATACGAATATATTTGCTCGTAACGTGATTTGTATAAACCGGCAAACGCTGAAGCGGTTTGGTTGTTCATTAAAAATTTAATAACAGGCTAACCAGGCTCTGAATAGATTTAAAAGTCATCAATATTACGGGCTATGTTGCTGACTGAGGTGTAAACAACGAAAACCGAATAAAGTCAACCTATTTTGTTGCTTTCTCAGTTGATTATATACGCAGCATTGAATGTGTTTACTCTTGCAGTAATTAAAATGCATATAATTATCCTATATGCGTTTTTATACGCATAAATTATCTTAATTGAACACCCCAAATACTGGAGATTTTCAGGTCATGTGACCGGCCGATGCCATGGCCATTTTCGCTGACCGGAAGCAAAATGCAAAGGGTACGAAGTTGGACCGCGATGTTGGTTGGCCATTGTATTTATATGAAACGATAAAGTTCGCTTATCAATATCAATTTCATTTCGTTTCAACTCATCAAAAATTATATCTATGTTATCCATTGACTATCTCGCCACAAAGGTCAAAAACCAAATGAGAAACACACGCTATTTACCCAACAATATGGGTCGTGGAAAAATCGCTGATTTACCCCAATCGTGGGACGCGAAAAATTGCTGAGCTCAGCGAAAATATTGACTGTTCGCCTGAACATGCCCACGACCGCCCGTAATAATATCCATTTATATTCATTAGGATCCTATTGGTTATGCAAATTCGTATTGCCTTAATCCCCTTAATTACATGAACCTTCGTGTTTTACGCGTGGGAATTACCTGACAACGCTGTCATCAGAATATTTACGCTTCTAATGCATTTGTTTCTATCAAGAAAAACTCTATATTTAAAACTTTACTTTAAACATGTGCTTGTAAAACCATCGTTTTTATTTCGTTTAAAGTAACATAAGCAGTGTGCTACATTATTTGCAATGGTAAATCATCGCACTCATTATTAATACTAAATCATATTCTGTGCAAAGTAATTATTTTTCCTTTAAATTTAGTATTAATCACATTCTGTGCAAAGTAATTTATTTGTCCTTTAAATTTATCAAAAATACGGACATATCTCAAGATGTTTCTGTACCTAGCAACAACATTACCAGCGACCCTGATTTTTTAATGATGCGTCGCCCTGAATTTTTAATGCTGCGCCGCCCTGAATTTTTAATGCTGCGCTGCCTGAATTTTAATGATGTGCCGCCCTGCACCGCCCTACAAAAGGGGGTCGAATGGCCTCTATATTGCTACTTGAATGTAGACTATTGGAGCTTTTTATTGAAGATGGTAATGAATTCCAAATTTTTAGGGCCTTGAAAATGAATCGTGAATTGCTTTATGTTTGTGCGGCAATGGTGAGGTCGATAATAGATTGCGTTTCTAGTATAGATTTGATAGAGATGTTGGTAGTAACCGATGATGATAGAGAAACACAAGCTTCGTAATATGAAAGGTGTTCACTTTAAAAATGCCTAAAACTTTCAGTTGTGTAAATAACGGGGCAGAATGAGCTCGGTACTTTGTCAGGACACGTATACTGCTCGTTTTTGAAGTAGCCAGATCCGATTCAAACTAGTTACATAAGTAGACGACCAAACTAAGTTACAATAGCTAATATAAGGATAAATTAAGGTATGATATAATGGAAGTTTTGTCCTAGTAGACAAGACAAAACGTGATCTAGTGATAATTCCAATAGACTTAGAAGTTTTGTTGCATACATGATCAATATGATATTTCCAGGAAATATTCTCATTGATAAAAATGCCTAAAAAATTAACAACCTTTACACTCTTAAGCGGCTTTGCACCAAATTGGCGAATTTATCGCGATTAACTTTTGTTTTGGTCTGAAAAAAATGTAGTTTGTTTTACTAATATTGACAGAAAGTTTGCTAGTTTTCATCGAAACATTTATTTTTTCTAGTTCAACATTCATCTTAAAAATTAAATAACCGTGGTCAATGTGGCTTAAGAAAATGCTGGTATCATCTGCAAAAAGCAAACACTCTGCCAATTCCGTAGCATTAGGGACATAATTTAAATAAAGTACGAAAAATAAAGGGTCTAACATTGAACCCTGAGGAACCCCGCATTTAATAATACGTTCGGTGGAATAGGTCTCATTGAAATGGACAAATTGTTTCCGATTAGAAAAATAGCTTTTGATCCATTGCAATGTTATGCCACGGATACCATATAATGTTCCAGCTTAGAGAACAAAATTTGATGATCAAGGATATCAAATGCTTTTGACAGATCTAATAGGGGATAGAGAATTTAAAATCGATTCACGAAATCAATAATGCGGTTATGCATCACTTTTTCAAAAATTTTCGCGAGATTGGTCTATAATTTGTAAAATTTTCAGGATTATCGGTTTTAAATACAGGAATTACCTTAGCTATTTTTAGTAAATCAGGGTGAATGCCAATTGAAAGCGAAAGATTGATAATTTGGGTAAGAGGTTGAGCTATAAATTCAAACGAATTTTTTATTAGATTCATGGCTATATTATCAGAACCAGCTGTTTTATACATTTATAAAATTAGAACGTATTTAAGAACCTGTTTAGCCTAATTTCCTGGTAAGCACCATTTACATAAGAGCCTGTTTAAGTTAACATAGAAAATCTAGGGTTTTATATGCGGGTTTTATTGTAACATCATGTTCTAAAGCTTGTATCAAATCTTCAACTTTGGCTTGCTCAAGTTGTCCAACTGGCTCAGACCTCATCCTTAAATAAAAAGATTTCTTCATCGTTTAATTAAGCGTAATTGTGAGTAGTTATATACAGAGCGAAATCAACCAAATACCGCAGGTTTTCTGTAGGTATTCTGTCTTTCTCCACTGGATCAATAAGGGATGATTTTTACTGAACCTCTATGTGTAGCACAGCAAGAACTAGAGTTGCCCAGTCTAAGCAAAGCTAATTTATGGTAATGTTGACCCTTACCCATGCATTGCATTCAAATCAATACACCAAAGGACATTCCCATCTTTATCACTTACTTTGTCTTCGTGATTACAAAACTTCTCTCTCATTTTTTCGGCTAGATCAGGCCTCATCACAATATCATGTTCTAAAGCTTGTATCAAGTCTTCAACTTTAGGATACCTTGTCCTTCGTCGCCATCTTTCCAAAAGATCCATACAGCTCCTCTCAACATCTGCAGAATTCTGACTTGAAATATCTATTTCCCTTTCGGGCATGTCAAGAGCGCGAGCGTATGCTTGAAACTTCGCTGCAATTTGGGGTGCAAGCCACCCCAAAACAGATTTATCCAACTCGTCTTCCTTCAAAAGAGCACGAATGACATCAAGCCGTCCAACGGTTTCATCTTCCAAGCATAAACGAATTTTGTCCCACGTTGGTTTCTTTCCAAGCTTCATTTCGGCATTTCTCCACGAGTTAAGGATTTTAATGTTTCGTATTTCTGGCTTGGGTTCGTCTCGTTTAATAGACTCGATTTCAACCAAGGCAACATTTAACAGCATTGCAACTTTTTCGATATCCTTGCTCAGATGTAGCGCCAACCACGGTACGTGCCGTTCACAAACTTCATCATCGAAACCCGTTATTTCTGTTTGAAGAAATAAAAAAATGATACTGTAAAATTCCGAATATAAGCCCACCCGTGTATAAGCCCACCATATTCACTAACGCTTAGGCATATTAGACAAAAGTCCTAATTCAGACCATAGATAAACTACAGTAAATTAGGCAAAAGTTATTTATTTAGGATAACTTTACCAGTTCTAAACTGTTCTCTCTAGAGGCCTGGTAAGATCCCTTATTGCTTCAGTGTTACTACGGGACAAAACCTAATCTAAACTATATTTATTTATTTATTTACTTATTTATTTATTTATTTAAACAGGATAGCTCTATTTGTTCTAAATAAAAATGTTCTACCTAGAGGTCCAGTGGGAGTCATCTCTTATCGATCCAGTGTTACTACAGGAGGAAGCGTAAACTAAACTAACTTTCATTATATACTGGATAGTCCTATGAGTTCTAAACTGTTCTTCCTAGAAGTCCAGTAAATATCATCTGTTGTTGATCCAGTTTTACTACAGGAGGAAACCTGAACTAAAATAACTTTATTTATACTGGATAACTATATCAGTTCTAAACTGTTTTTCCTAGAGGTCCAGTAAGGATCATCTCTTATTGATGCAGTGTTACTACAGGAAGAAACCTAAACTAAACTCACTTTATTTATACTGGATAGCTCTAAACTGTTCTTCCTAGAGGTCCAGTACGGATAATGTCTTATCGGTACAGTGTTTTAGTACAGGAAGAAACCTAAACAAAACTAACTTTATATACACTGGCACTGGTTCGTGTAGAATGTGAAAGAGCCAAATCACATCTACACAATTACAAGAATTCAACTCAACACAGTTGAAAAGTGCATGTAATAACCAGGTCATAAAATATCGGTAGAAGAACAAGAATTTGAATGCTTAATAAAACAAGAATTGCAACTAGAGGGTTAACTACTTCGCAAACACTGATATATGTATTGCTTACAAATCAACCTGAGCTGTTCAAGAGTATAGCGGAGTACTGAACACTGAACTAAGTGACCACAAACTTATCTACGGAATAATGAATAAGAAGGTACAGATCCACAGAAATAGAGTTATCACGTATAGAAGTGTAAAATATTTCAATGTAGAGAAGTATAAACAAGATCTTAAGAATGCATCATGGCAAGTAGGGGAGATTTTAGGAAGTATTCATGACAAAGCTAAATATTGGAGCACATTAATGACCAACATATTATACTTGATATTACAGTAGATGAACATGCACCACAATGTAAAATGAGGGTGGGAGGAAGAGATGTGTGCCATACATGACAACTGCCTGGAAGAGAGCGATTAGAGCGAAGAGAAGAGCGGTACAAAATTATGAGAAATGTAAAACAACAGAAAACATTGATCTGAAGCGAGAATTACGAAACGAAGCTACAAAGCAAAAACGGAAGGCAATAAAAGACTACTGCATGGTTAAAGAGATTTGAAGCATTAAAAGCAAATCCTAAGGATTTCTATAAGACCTTTAAATATGTCTTTCCTGGGTACAAAACAGCAGGATCGATGCAAGGAAATAACACCTCAAGGAAGCTGGAAATTTAAAGAAAAGCCGGACATGGTATCTGATGTTTTGAGTGATCATTTTATAAATATCGCGGAGGAAGTTCGGGATAAGGAAGAGTTAAGGAAGAACAAAGCGGATTTGAGTAAACATTCCAGCATACACTCAATCATAAATCATTCCAATAATGTAGAAGACATTGGTTTTCACCATTTGGACGCTGTCAATGCTGAAAAGGTATTACAACAGCTAGACCGAAACCCAAATAAAGCCACTGGTTGGGATACAATACCCCCTAAGTTCCTAAAAATTGATGCAAAAGAACACGCCACACCCTTACAACACTCTACAATACATGTACAGATCAAGGAGAATGGCCTGAAAATTGGAAAAAAGGAGAATGGGTGCCTGCTTTTAAAAAAGATGATAAGCAAATCAAAACAAATTATACCCGTCCGGGTGGCGCAAAAAAAGTTCAGACGTTTGCTTTACTATAGTGAAAAAACTATAAAAGCTACGTCGCTCAAATAAACGTACCAGTATTCATAAAAGGCTAACTTAAATTTTGATAGGTCATACGTACGATTTCATTAAATATTTACCAAGATATGTGTTTAAATTTGGGTAAGCACAAGTTTTGAAAATTTAGCTAAAAAGGCCTATTAATAATAAGGGATACGGCAATATATTTTTTAATTATTTCATTGGGAAGAACTTTAAGAGTGACTGTCCGTAAAAATCAAGCAAAATTCAAAATTCATGGCAAACTTTGAAGAATTCCATTTCTCTCATACTTTCAAGTCTGGAAGGGTAATGTTTCCTAAGAACAACTGTATAGTTGGTTTGGTTAAATATCATTGTATTCTGAAGAAATATGCAAATTATCGAACACCGCCGAAAATGCCGTTCGGACGGGTGATTTTTAGCCCCACTTTGGTGGGCTTCTATGGACAATTAGAGCACTCCACATCAAATATAATTCCTAATCCTAGTTAAATAATCACTTGACTATCATTTTGGCAAGTTTGGGGACAATCACGCGATTTTATACTTTCCAAACAATTTTATTCTCGAAGCCCATATTTTGTATCGATAAAAATGGGTCTTATAAAAAGTCTTATAGAGAATGTGCTCTATCTTTAAATAATTCGAAACTCCGGCGAATGAATGTTGAAATAAAGGTCTTTCATCTGATGGAAAGGAATCTTTGGGCAAATGTTTGTGTGTGACGTTTCAGGCTATCAAACTGTGGTGAAATTGTACTCCTGCGACCTTTCAGGTCAAAAGACACTAGGACGAAATACCGTTTATTTTGATTTATAAGTCGATGAAACGG